AGAGAGATAATTCTCATTTGGGGAACCTCAGAGTGCACACATGAAAGACAAATGTACAACAGTTGAGGTCTTCAGGATCCTCACATGAACTATGTGTGCTTCTGAGTTCAGAGCTGGTCCAGGATGGAGGAGTCATTTGACATAGGAGATCTAGGGCATGATGGCTTTTACAGGTAATGAGTAGTAAAAAAACACATCTTAGATTTTAAATATGACTAAATCCATTAAAGCACAGATTCATATATAAAAAACTTACACTGTAATTCAAAAACTCCAAGTCGATAAGGTATAATATATCTATGCAAATTGTCATTTGTAGCATGCAGTGAATATTCAGACCTACCTGCTCTAGTTTAAAGATGTGTTGGTTAAAGTAGTGCTGTAAGCGTTCATTAGCAAAGTTAATGCAGAATTGTTCAAAGCTGTTATTTTCATAATCTTCAAACCCAAAGATATCAAGTACTCCAATGGACAAAGTCTGTAAAACAAAACAAAGTATGCTGCTTAGAAAAATCAGATCAATTAATGTACTCTCAGAATATCATTCATGATAGAAAGCATACAAACAGAATCAAATCTATTGAGTATAATGATCTGTAATCACTGCTGTAACTATTAACATTATTCCACGATGAGGGTTGTACATAAATCAAGGAGACAACATGTAATTTTAGGTACCAGTTTAGTTGTGATTTACTAGAAGGAAATACTTCAATGTACTTCCTTTTGGAGAGATACACTAAATTCCCTCCTGTTTGTGGTACTGCATCCCATACTGAGCTGACAGCACACTTTTTGGTCTAAATAATAATGTGCTCATCTGGCTTTTACTTACAGCTAAATGAATTATCACCTTTTAGGGGAAATCTGAATACAGTTCCAACCTACTCCACTGGATCTAAGACTTAAAAGCTTTCACCCAATGGAAAAAATTACTTGTACTATGAATGGTAAACCAAAGGAATGTGCTTATTTGGACTCCCTGAATTAATTTTGTAAATGGTTACACTCCAGCTGTGAACATTTCAAAGTAAAATACACACTGGAGGGGTTTATAAATAAATAATGCACTACAATAAGCGAGGGTGGGGAAAGGACTCACTTAGGAAATGCCAGAGCAACTCTCTATAATATCAAACCTGCATGACACAACAGATCAGAAAGTATATACAAGAAAAGCAATTCAACATTTTTGCTATGTGATTATGATAGGTCTTTCTGGGCAACTCTTCTGATGCAATTTTTTTTTTTAATAAAATAAATGAAAAGCCAAACAAAAAACACCTATCCCCATTGCACCTTAGCAGGGGATAAAAGTGCATGTATGACATGGAAAGAAAGCAGCACCAGCAGTTCATGGTGAATTGCACACTGGAATGACCTATTACAAAGACAGATGGAAAGAAGAAAGCCTGGCTAAACCATTACAGGAAGAGGGCTCTGGTCACACAACAAAAAGAATGGTAGAACAAAAAGAGTAAGAACCATGGACCAAGCCTAAGCCTCTGGCAGGGGAAAAATACATTGTCACCTGTCATAGTTAGTAACCAAATATCAATCTTACTGCTCTGATCCACACACAGAATTTTAGGAAATTCTCCCATCATTACTCTAGCACAAGTGCAGCTCCAGCAGTGCTAGCAACAGTGGGTAATAGAACAGATTGACCACAAGCTTTTTTTACACCACTGTGGTCTGACCAGATCCCAGCAGGGTCAAATGACACAGTGGTAAAATGCTTCTTCACTAGCTGCCATGGCGGAAGACGACTAAAATATCAGGGTAGATACAATTGTTATGCACAGGTATAAAACCATATTTAGAGCCAATCATGCCATAATGGTAGCATGGAAATGGCCTTGGATTCCAATGAACTAAATTAGTGTTTGTGTAAAGAAAGTCATCTCATTGCACTGTAAACCAATTTTTTGAAAAAACATTAAACAAAATCCCTGGTTATCCCTAGTCCATCTCTCCAATTCCTTTCCTCTGCCATCCCATGTCTCTGTCTCGTTTGGCATTCCAACTTCCCTGCTATCATTCCTCCTCCCCCGCATTCCAGCATTACCAAATAGATTACATGCCTCGATCTGTTATGATATTTTCAGTAATTTGACCAAATGCCTGAAAATTTTAGTCATTTGGCCAAACATTCACGTGAAACAATAGTTTGACCAAAGGACTGAAATTTGCAGTCTCTGGACCAAATAACAGACAGACAGAATGACTAAATACACATACATTCACTCCTCCTAAAGGATATAAATCTTCCTGCCATTGTTCTACTCAGATATAGCAGTTCCTTTGTTCTCTATGAAGTATACCTATATACACAGTCCTGGAAAGTTTACTACAGCTTAACAATAGACTATATGATGGATAATTCTCTTAGCACTATTTTTATTTACTTTTTTACACTTACAGACACCTTAATACAACATATTTTGAATATTCTGTGTAATAAATATAACAGCTTAAATAAAAAATGTTTTACATATATTATGCATATGTAAATAAGATAACAGAAACATGAGACAAAAGTCAGTGTTTCAAATACAAGACCAATCTTCTAATAGCCACTTGCACTTGCTCCTGTTTAAGTAAGGAAAGATTCTAGCGTGATGCATGCTTTTAGGGCTACAATGTGAAATATTGCATGCAAGTTCTTTAAATAGGTGATAAGTCTCTTATTTTCATGTAAAGTAACCATGCGCGCACACACGACACATGCACGCATACACACAGGAGTATACGTGTTAAAGAATGGCAAGAATTTTTAAAGGAAAGAATTCATGGTAAATTGCCAGCTCCAGTTGCACTCACTCTCTCATGAGCAGCATGTCAATACCCTTTGGATTAAATTAAACCACTGTTGTGCGAGTACAATTAACATTAAATACAAATGGATCCTTTAAGTCGCCTTCCAAAAATAATTTAATATGAAACATTTAAGCATAATCATCATTCCCTTATTTCTAATGCCTGTTAATTTACCCTAGCTGGACTGCCAATAAAATAGTTATTATGGCTATTCCAGCTATAAATGAAAAAAAAATCTATTTAAAATATTCTCTTTTGATCTTGCATTGCTATTAAGGGCTCCAATGATCAGTCATACCTCCCTACTCGGAGCACCCCATGAATCTCCAACTTGTAAATGAAAGAAACAACAATGTAAAGTTAATATCCAGAAATTCTCCTTTTTAACAAAATCAATACAGATATCAAGTTGAGACCACAGAATGAGCAATGCAGTATGCTACAGTGATTGCTGCACCGGACAAGACAGAAATTTTCTCAGATCTCTTCCAACACATCATCAAATGGATCAAACAATATAGCCACAGATTGCTGGCTCCCCCTTTGTGTGATGCTTCAGCATGCATGCTGTTTATAGTTTATAGTTTTAAAATTGGCTACAAACTGTTTTTTGTGTGAGGAATTCTGTAGCCGAGCCAAGACACTCAGATTTTAAAATAGTCCTTTACTTTTACAATTTCATGCAAGGGAGACTAGAGCAGAACTCTTCAGTCAACCAGTTCATGTTCCAAATCGCTAACGAAAATGCTCTTTCAGAATGTAAATGCATCACCACATTAAGCCACTACCAAAAGAAATGCAGTTCTGCCTAAGTTAGTCTTGGATTTGACTAAACATCTGAAATAACACCTGTGAGTTTCACGACCACTTACCTGTTTTCTGGTCCAAAAAGGGGAATGTATCCTGTCCTCAACAAGCCTTACTGTAGCTACTCAGAATGGTTAAAAAAATCTTTTCTATTTATTAAACCAGCACTTCTACATATATACTATTGTTTCCCTCCACCCCCGCCTCCCAAAAGTACTCCAGAGGGGTCGGCATGAGTTGTATCATTCTATCAAGGACAGAGTTTGTCAAATACCCCAACCCCAAATGTGTATTCACTGAGTAAACAATCAAATAACTTTTCTTCGGTTGACAAAAAACAGTTCTTCTAATATGAATGTATTCGGGTGCAAAGACAAAAATCTCTCTCACTCATCTCTGTGATGAGTGCAACACTGATAGCAGGTATAATGAAAGACTTTCTAGTTAGTTTGATTTTGTTCTCTGATGTAAAGACCTACGGCTTGGGAAGCGCTCCCAACATCACTGGAATATGCTTAACATTTCCTTGTATGGACTTCACTTTGCATGTTCCTTTATATACATATACGTACTTCTTTTTTAAACAGATAAACTGAAAATTCAGTTTGCAGTACAATATTTAAATAATGAAATACAAATTAAAATAATTTGTACCTCTTAAAACTTCTGAAGTTCCAGTTTCAACTTTGCTAGCTGCAGTCTTTATTTCAGCATAAAGATGCCATGCAGAAAGCATGCACAGAAATAATATGATCTTTTGCATACAAGTCTAGCCTTTATCTTATTTTTAAGTTCAATTTTCAATAAAGAAACAAAAAAAGCAACAAACATGACACATGAATTTGTAGAAAATGACTAACACAGTAACGCAAGGCTAGATTTTACAAATAAAACCTAATTTCTGCACAGAACTAATTTTTCGATTGGGGCGCCCCTGATTTAGAAATCAATTGCTCAGAAAACAGTCTGATGTCACCGAATGGTTTCATATGATTGTAGCAGAGTCTTGGGTTTTAATTTAAATAAATGAAATTTGCTGGTCACAGACAGAAAACAAGTACCTGAATTCTAGTAAGCAAATAAGTGTCCAGTAAGTCACGCAATATGAAATTAAGGAGCAAGGATGAAGCAATATTAGCATCAGACAACCTTTATTACTTAATAGCCCAGTTCACTATAAAGAAGTATACATACAAGGAAGATGTAGTATCTCAATTTATGAATCACATCCAATTTGAGATTTTTAAGGTGACCTGACATTACTTTAATCCCCCACATATTTAGAATAATGTATCAAATGCAATGAATAAAAACTGTAAGAAGCCTTCAGCAAATAACTAACTTACAGGTCACCTTGGTTTGCTTGCTGTGCAGGTCCCAAAGTACAGATCACTCACAGATTGCTGGCTCCCACTTTGTGTGACGCTGCAGCATGTATGTTGATGATGTCATACCACCACAGAATTCCACTGCAGATTCGCAATGGCCTATAAATTAAGTTCTAGAGGAGAATTGTTTGTTTTACAATACAGCACAAAACTGTGATATTGTAAAACAAAACAAAACAGACCTTACTTTCCCTAACAGGATGACTCCAATCTACAGCAGCATTCCACAGCGTATGATGTCACACACAATAGATGCTGAGATGTCACCGTGAGTGGGAGTCAGTGATCCACAATGTGTCTGAAGATTGGGATCTGCAAAACAATAAATAGACACACATTTTAAGTCTGTGTGTGGAACATATCTTACCCTGTTTTGAGGTCAATCCTCTGATAATCCTAAACTGACTGGTTTATTTAAATTATTTACAAGCCATATATTAGCATACAACATTATGGGCAGAGGCTGAGCTGTTCATCTGAAAAATGTCATACTACAAATCATCTGAAAACAACTACAACACATTTTAGCAGAAACTGGGGGAACTGAGAAAAGTCCATTTACGATTAACAATGATAAAAGAAAGCTGGAAAATGGTCGCCTTAACACATGGTGTTCAAATGCATCATTAGCATCAAAACTATTTTAGCTAACCATTAAGGATGAAAAGAACAGGAGTACTTGTGGCACCTTAGAAACTAACAAATTTTTTAGAGCATAAGCTTTCGTGGGCTACAGCCCACTTCTTCGGATGCATATGTAGCCCATGAAAGCTTATGCTCTAATAAATTTGTTAGTCTCTAAGGTGCCACAAGTACTCCTGTTGTTTTTGCAGATACAGACTAACACGGCTGCTACTCTGAAACCTGTCATTAAGGATGAGACTCATACAAAGCCTAACATATGTTAAAAGGTAAAGAGAAATCAATAAGAGCTATCTGAAAGCAATAATACTATAGTTGATACCAGAAGGAAAATCTATGACCTCATTAATAAAAGACAGATCTGAGACTTGCAGAACAAAAAAGGTGATAATCGTATTAGCAATGGTAAAACAGCTAAAAGGTATAGAAGCAGGAGCACAGGAAATGAGGAATACACAATAAGACCAAGAGACTCACACAAAAACTGATAAAAAGCAGAACTGCTACAGAACAAGGACAGAGCTTACAGCAACTCAAGACTCAGGTCAGGGACAGCAAACTACAAATTCTAACTGCCAGCAAGCAAGAGAAGCCAAACCCTACTTTTTTTTTTGTACAGAATAATTCATTGTACATTTACTAAAAATGGATCAAAGGTCTGATCTAAGTCCTTCCAATATGGGATTTGAAAAGCATCGGAGGGGCAAAGATTGTGTATTTGATACTAGTGACTGAGAAGGTCCAAAAAAGAAGCCAGTGCAATATACAGTATAAACCTACCTATTAGGATATGAATATTCTCTTCTCTTCCCCTCTTCACTGGTCTGCTAACTCAGGCCAGACGATGGGAGATACCAGCAAATGACGTCTAGCACAGGGAATGAAGGTGTAGCTTTTCTAACCAACAAAACTACACAGCTTATCCATAGGGTTTGTTTTTGTTTCAAATACCATAAATTAGACACCCAGTGGTAAAAAACTGCAGGGAATTTTAGAAGGACTCTGATTAGGTTGACCAGAAGTTTTGGTTTATAGGGATTGCCCAGCTGGTTTCACTGAAACTGGGGTTTTGCCCTGATTTCAGTAATATCCCAGAACATTTTGTTCCCTACTGGTAGCTGCATGGTCTTCATATGGCAGTGTGAGTAAAGCAGTATTTTTGTCCTTATTTCATGCTACACTAAAGCTGTACTTCTAACTAGGTGATTGCTTCCTTCTGCAGCCTCCAGCATGAGGCACTCCAAATCTCCAACTACCACAGCAACACAACAGGCCCAATCCTAGCCGAGGTGGATGTTCAGGTCTTTGTAGCCCAGTGAGAAGTTGGATTTTCAGGACAGTTAGGCAGAGGCATGAGCAGGTGAGAGAGGGATGGAAGCCTAGGGTATGTCTACATTGCAAACAAAGGTGTGGTCTTAATTCGGGTTAGCTAACACAGCAACTCGGCTTTTAATTTGGGTTATCAGCTTCAGTTCAACCCAGTAGCCATATAGGCTTTAACTAAAGTTAAAAGCCGAGCTGCCATGTCTTCATTGCTGTTTTAATCCAAGTTAGCTAACATGGGGTAAGAACATACTTGAGGGCACCTCCTCTACTCTGGGACTTGCACTGAGCTGTAGCAGGGTCCACACAGGACATTGTTGTGCAGCAAGCTGGTGTGCTATACATTCACATCCTGGCTTGCCATGTAGACAAGCCCTTTGAGAGCCTTCTAGCTATTTTGCGCTAACTTCCCTGTGAAGACAAGGCCTTAAGCTCTGTGCTTCAGTTCCACTACTCATAAAATGGATATAATACATAGTTCTACTTACCTCTCTGGGGAGTTGTGAAAGTGAACCTTAATAAATAAAGGTTTGGAAAATGCTTTGAAGTTGAAAAGTGTTATGTATCAACTTATTTTTATGTATTTCTATTCTTCATCCTGATGTGCTGCCATAAACAAACAGGTAATTCTTTTACAGTATTCTAGCTAGGTTCAGTAAGAGAAGTAATAATGTTCTAGCCCAAGTATGCATACAGATATTGAAGAACAGCTAGTGTTTTAAAACTTACTTTTAAAAGAAGTAGTGAATTAATCTGGTTAATATTTTAGATATCCATTCCCTTGACAATAAAGCAAATTTATATGCTCTCCAAATACATAAATTCCCTCTTCAGACAGCCCCGAGAAAAGCTTTCAGACCCTTGGAAATTGTACAGAAGGTAAAATTTACAGTAAAATAGCAAAGTGAGAGAGCAGCCAGAAGAAACATAGTATGTTATCCATTTTAACAAACTTGTGTGCCAACACAGTCATCACCACATATTAAACATGCATTTTTACAAAAAAACAGAAAGATTTGTGCACACAGACCATAATTATTTTCCTATATAAATTACAAGCATTTCTATGCAGTAAAATAATGGGTCAGACATATGTTAAGTTCTGTAATTTCAACCAATTGTACAGTAGGATAATTCAAATGCAATGTTAGCACATAGCTAAACAATCATTCTTTGGCATCCACGGTGTCAGCTAAGACATATGTCCGAGAATTTCTGCTGGCCTGTGCCAAAAACATAAAAGCCAAGGGAATTGGACTAGCCGAGTGTTTGCATATATATATATATATATATATATATATATATATATATATATATATATTATTTACACACACGTGCATGCAGACACACACTTGCATCCTGTCCAATTTTTTTGAATACATCTCTACCCCGATATAACGCGACCCAATATAACACGAATTTGGATATAACGCAGTAAAGCAGCGCTCCTGAGGGGCGGGGCTGCGCACTCCAGCGGATCAAAGCAAGTTCGATATAATGCGGTTTCACCTATAATGCGGTAAGATTTTTTTGGCTCCCGAGTACAGCGTTATATCAGGGTAGAGGTGTATTAACATTCAATTGATATGACTGGTTTGTTAAATGTGTAATCAGAGATTTCACTTGATTTAATAAGATCATTAGAAATGACAATGTCATGGTTAAAGATGCTCACTCTAACATGTTTCAGAGTGGCAGCCGTGTTAGTCTGTATCAGCAAAAACAACGAGGAGTCCTTGTGGCACCTTAGAGACTAGCACATTTATTTGGGCATAGGCTTTCGTGGGCTAGAACCCACTTCATCAGATGCATGTAGTGAAAAATACAGGAGCAGGTATAAATAATATAAAAAATAATTAAAAAAATGAAAGGATGGGGGTTGCTTTACCAAGTGTGAGGTCAATCTAACAAGATAAATCAATTAACAGCAGGATACCAAGGGAGGAAAAATAACTTTTGAAGTGGTAAGAGAGTGGCCCATTACAGACAGTTGACAAGAAGGTGTGAGTAACAGTAGGGATAAATTACTATTGGAGAAATTAAGTTTGCAAATTGATACCGGACATTCTCTATGCAAAAGAATAAATGGACACAAATCTGACATCAGGAATCATAACATTCAAAAACCAGTAGGAGAACACTTCAGTCTCCCTGGTCACTCAATAACAGTCCTAAAAGTGGCAATTCTTCAACAAAAAAACTTCAAAAACAGACTCCAACGTGAAGCTGCAGAACCGGAATTAATTTGCAAACTGGACACCATCAGATTAGGCCTGAATAAAGACTGGGAGTGGTTGTGTCATTACAAAACCTAAACTTAATTTCCCCAATACTAATTTATCCCTACTGTTACTCACACTTTCTTGTCAACTGTCTGTAAAGGGCCACTCTCTTACCACTTCAAAAGTTATTTTTCCTCCCTTGGTATCCTGCTGTTAATTGATTTATCTCGTTAGATTGACCTCACACTTGGTAAAGCAACCCCCATCCTTTCATGTATTTATACCTGCTCCTGTATTTTTCACTTCATGCATCTGATAAAGTGGGTTCTAGCCCATGAAAGCTTATGCCCAAATAAATTTGTTAGTCTAAGGTGCCACAAGGACTCCTCATTGTTTTCACTCTAACATGGTAACATTCTGTTAAAGAGAGCTCTGATTGTATTACTGTATAATGTTTCTCTAAACACAAGCTCACCATTGTAGTGATTATTGTATTGTCTCTAATATTTACATGGCAAAGATCTGTAAAAATGTTAAAACTTCCTAAATAAATACAAATAAATAAATAAATAAATATAGTTAAAAATACACCCACCCACACCCTTAGTTTTCAATAAATATTCAAGAGTTGGGGCCTCTTTAGGGCAGAAGAAAATATTTATGTACTGTTCTTTAAATCAAAGTAGAGCAACCCCATTAACAATGCCTTCAAGTAGTATTCACATATCTAGCCTCTTTTGATTTCCTTCTCAACAATATAGGGTGCTATCATTCTGCAGCACCCTTTTAAATGCATGGAGATTGGCATTCCTTTTCAGGGGCACATGTCTTTTTGTGTCCAATACAAAACCTCTCCCTATCACAAGTCACTTCAAGGCCTAAAATTCTCGACACAATTCATGACACGTTAAGATCTGCCCCCGACTCACAAAACATCACTTTAAAAAAAACAAAATTATGTGCTCATTCTTGAAATGTTAACAGTAATGCTGTGCAAGGAAAATTTTACTTCCTTTGCCAGACAATTTGCCATCAATTGTTTGGGTAATGTTTTACCCTGTAGTTATAGATTTTACAAGAGGAAGTTTTCAGCCTGACAAGCTGGCAGGAGAATCCAGATGTTACCTTGGTGCTTTCCTCCACATCCTTTGTATTCAAAAGTGCATGATTAATTCGAAAAACTATCCAATCAAACAAGGCGCTGTACAATGATTTAGCCATGGAATTCCGCACAGTCACAGCCTAGAAAAAATGAAAATAATGATTAGAAATAATTAATTACCTGCATTAAAACTGGTTTACATAATAATAAAGAAGTTGTGTGTCCAACATCCATCTTTATTTTAGAGAAAACTTATCTTCACTATGTGCTCCACTGCTCCTGAAGCACTTCGTGATTTGTCTTCATTACCAGTCTATTCAACCAAGCCTGAACTATGCCCCCTGAATTTGGCTGGTTTTACTCTGGTGGATGATACAGGAGATCAGCTCAAAGAATACAATAAATGAGACAGATGAGATCTGAGCCTTGATGGAATCACTCAGCTTCCTGAATACCTAAAACCTGCTGGCTCCAATGCCGGGAGTTGCAAATCACACTTATAAGATCCATCTACACTGCATACTTCTTGTGGTGGTGTGCAAAGTACATACACGGTTAGCATTGCTAGCACAGCTATAAACAGCATAGATGGGGAGGTATTGCTTAGGTGAGTAAAGACATGCCTGAAGCCTCTGAGTATCTACCCAGGTATATGCCCTATATGGCTCTCTCCAGCCCAAGCATTGCCTCCCCTATCTGCATTGCTATTTTTAACCGTGTAGCATCCCGCTGCCTCCCTGCTGCTGGAGCCTTTCCCCACCACTGGGAGAGACTCCAGTAGTGGGGAATCAGTGTGGACACTGCTTGCTTTTCACTGCAGCATCTAGTTATACATACTCTACATGCTACCAACATTGGCCTGCAGAGTAGACATAGCCATATGCAGGTTTACTGCTCTTCAAACAGCCATCACAGAATAAAGAATAATACTTCTTTAGAAATACCATCCAAGTCGGGATGTTCTTTCATCCGCGTCGCAAGAGATTTCACTTGACTGACAATGGTTAAAAAGCAAGAAACAACTAAGATATCAATATGTAGTTTGTTTTTTCCAAAAACATATGCTCTCTGAAACAGATACTTAGGTACTGGGCAGGAAAGGAGTCGATAATTCACACTTTGAGGTCCTACTGACATTAACAACCTGCTGAGGCTATTTTGGCCCTCAGTTTACAATTCCCTGGTTTGAATTATTACCTTGCCATTTATTCAAAGGCTGCTGTATATGTTAATTACTTTAAATGTTATGAAGCGATTGGTGACTGTGGCATTAACTCAGAGCTGTTTTTAGCTATGGTGCAAGTAAGAATGAATATCAAGCTCTTCTGGTGATGGAGATAGTCTCTCACATCAACAGGAGATTCAGAAACACCCATTTTAATCACAAGCCTTAAACTATAACTGTAATTGCTAGCTATTATACACAGCACTGCAATGGTTCACACTGAGTGAACTTTCAGAATACAGCACTGAGCATAAATTGGATATATTTCTTTTCAAGCAGGCAATGAAAGTTCTGTCTCAATTTAACAGATAGGAGAGAAAAGTTATTCAAAGAATTTACTGTTTGCCTGTGTCATCCTTCCTACCTTCCTCCTGTTCTCTACATAGAGATCTATGTCCAAAAGTTTGCAAGGATAAAAACTCACCTTCACTCAACCCAACTCCAGCCAGGGTGCGTTACAAGAGTGGCCTCATTTCACCAAGACAGTAATCAAAAGAAGAAAGATCACAGTGTGGGATCACTGGATTTTCACTACTGTTTCAATGGAAGCTACCTGTTTTTTCCATGAGTACTTTATAGCAACTTCTTTCACCATAGCCATGTGCTCTTGGGCCAACTGTGAACTCTTACTTGCAGTCAGCCAGGGCCTTTCTCTCACCCATCAGATGGCATTTATGAAACCAAGAACATCACCTCCAGATACTCAAAATGGGTAAATCTGAGGATGGCCCCAAACACACAAATGTGTGAGAGTCTGTACAATACCGCAAGTAACTAACCCTGCCTCGGCTATCTTTTGCTAAATTGCAACATACCACAACTATCTCATAAGCAAAAAGAAAATTAAAAAATGTCAAAGCAAAAAAAACAACAACGACTTGCCAGCGTCAAAATAAATGATTGCTCATTTCCAAAACTTTGTGTATGACAAAAATTACAAGCAATGAAAGCGAAACCTTATTGGTTTAACAGTTAGTTTATCAAGAATCCTATAAACAGAGCTTTACATTTTCTAAGCAAAGTGTATACTCTACTGAAAATTCAGTTTTGTACCAGTTTTTTTTTTTTTGCCATGCATTTTCCAAATATTACTCAGAAATATTTAAACATATTAAAGTGTTTTCAAGATAGATTTTGGTAACCCTGTCTTCTGCCTCATTTTATTGAATCTGCTAATGTTGGAAGACAATTCACTAATGCTGAACTACACCGTATCATGTCCCTCCCAAGACAAACTGATGGAGGAAATCAGATATGGTGACCATGATGATATAACATTTCTTACCGTTACAAGGATTTGTTCTGGAGTAGCCTTACTTCAGCCTTGTCTATTTTACAGTGAAAAGTGAAGTTTCCTCCTACTGCAGACCATATGAGGTGCACGGAACAACTCCTCTTTCTTTGCCCACCTTTTCCCTTCCTGGCAAACCTAATAATGGCATAGTTAAGTATGCAGTAACCCCACCACAGCCATGTTACCTAAGTCCTGTGAAAAGGGAGTAGAGGAAGGGCACAAGAAAGCTGTGCCTTTTCTCCCAAGATGAGCCCTGTTACTGTGCAGCTTAGCAGGCACATAGGAGAGTACTGTCTCTTTGCTAACCTCTAGGACCCAGGCACCATAGAACACCGTAATTTATGGACCTAGATCATGAAGTTTTCTACCTGAATTTCTAGGAGTCTTGGGATCTACAGGTTTATAAGTGAACTGGTAGAAAGCTCCTGGCACAGAAACGTGTAAATATGCCAGAAAATGTGTTAGTGAAAAATGAAACAAGAATTTAGTTTTCAATTTATTGCTCCTTATCAGTCAAATTTTGTTCTCAATTATGCTGTCTTAAATCAAGAGTAACTCCATTGACAGCAATGCAGTTACATTAGATTTGTACTGGTGTAAATAAGAGCAGATTTGGCCCTATATATTTCTCAGAAATAGGTGGAGGCTGGGGTTTTGCAGAAATTTCTGATTTGTCCTCTGTGGGCCTTGTGAGATGCAAGGGATTGAAGAAAAGTTCCTACACACTTTTCTAAAGTATGCCGAGGATGAAGCAGAGAGAGGGACACCCTCCTACAGAGCATCAATGATGCATGGGTAAAGGAAGTTCTGTATTGGGAAGACAAATAGTTGTAAATGATGCAATTTACAGGCTTCACTGCCAATTTTTGGAATAGAGGTTACTTTTGTATGTTGACACACACGTGCATACAAGTCTATTAGAAAGAACTGCATATATTTTACATAAAAATGGGATGTGGCCATATATTTGCCCATTAGTACGGAAGTTACAGCTATTTCTAAATTTTATGGAAGATATGTCCTGTGAGTCTTTAGAAGGATAACCAACCTCTTAGTGGAGAACCTCTGAGTTAAATCTACTAGGACTCATAACTTTGGTAGGAAATTCTTCCATTTTAGAAGCATTGTTTTGTTTTCCCATACACACACACACACACACACACACACACACCTTTTCATGTCAGTTTTCCCCACTGTATATGAAAAATGAATCAAGTGTCAAAAGGGGGAGAACCCCAACAAACCCAGATGGATTACTAATGGTGGTCATGAACTGTATGGGTACATCACACAGTAGTTTTTTTTAACAGGAAAATCTCAAGTGGCTTGCAGTATGAGAGAAAACACTAACTCTTAGGTACAGTACAGGCTCAAAAGTATCAGAATAGAAATGAACACATTTTTTATGAATCAGGCTCTTTATTTACATGACTGCCTTCGGGATCAGTCCTAATCCATAATACCTCACTCAATTTCACCCAGTTCATGTAAAGAGAGTAATGCCATTTAGAACAAACTTTCCCTCTTCCCCATAATTAGATAGCAAACTATATAATATAATGAGGCTTTTATTTAAAAGAAGGAAAGATTGCTGCTACTCTTTGAGCAGTGTGATTAAACAAGATTTGCCTACAGGATTTTTGGAATTTGCTTGGAGAACAAGTTTCCATTTCTTTTTTTTAAACTTTATCACTTATTAATGTCAGATGTTCTCAATGCATTACTGTATGCTACAGTGGAGACAGATGAAAGATTCTGTTATACTCCACAAGATCTCTGAAATCCAGAAGGACTAAAAGTAAAACTGTACCACAATTCATGACCTTTTGTCGGTCCTATTATTTTTAATCTATTCATCACAGCCTTTATGTATTGGGGTAACGACATAATCAAAGGATGGCAGAGTCAAGAAAGTTCAATGAGTCAGAAGAATTTCTTCATTTCAACTACACAAGTTGTGTGTCACATTTAGGTTTGTCTCATTACAATTATAGGCCTCCTATTCAGGAAAGCACCTAACAAAATGTGTAAGTCATTCCCCATGAAGTAAAGCATTTAAAATACACACTTAAGTTGAAGCATATGCTTAATTCCTATTGACTCCACATTCTTAAGCAATCTTTCTGAATACAGGCATTACACATTTCAATATTCTTTTCTAGCTGAATTAATAACTGAACTTCCCCCGGCATGATTCCATTTAAATTGGTGGTGCAAGTGAATGTTGCTACTGACATGCATAGACTAGAGAAAGTAACCACCTTTGTGATATCCAAAGGATGGCTAGAGTGAAAATGTTCACATCTAGATTAATTCAGCGCCTTGATATTACAGCAAATGGCATGTTTTAATTATCTAAAAGAAAAACATTTACAATATGGAAGTTCTAACCATCATACACCTTGATAATGAACTAATGTGACACGGTGAGGGTGCGTGCATGTAGGGTTGTGTGTTACATGACAATGCTCTGTGTTACATGCAGAGGATATTATTTGTGCATGCCTTGTTGCCCGAGTACTCTCTTTTCCCTTCATTTAACTGATTTTTAGCCCTGTTGCTTGAGTACAGATGTTTCTGCCAGTCTCTAACTCCATCACCCATCATACCTCTTTGCCACT